TATGCTTTTTATCCAGATTTAAACCTCAGTTTTGAGAAACTCTGATCTAAAAGGTCCTTTGTTTCTTCCTTTTACTCACAACATCTCATCACACTTTATCCTTGTGCTTAACAGCCCAGTGAATGAATAAATGTTGGCCTTTCTCATTTTGACTTGACTTGGCTGCAGGGAAAGGTTACTGTTATGAAAAATCAACAATTAAATGTCAGAAGGTAGATGCCGTCTAGCAGAGGTGCTAATCAGCTGATCAGACATTGCAAGTCGAAGGATGAGGAAATGAGGCAGGGATTCTTGGAAGCGAGCCACAGAGGATTTAAAAGAAGGGAAATCTATTTCTCAGTTCTGTTTAATTAGCTGTGAATCACTGTGTCTTTGTTTTCTTAGATACGCATAAGGTAAGAGTTTTTCTTTTCGATAAAAGCACATGCCTGCAAACAATATTGATGATCGCATCTCAGCAAAACTTTTGTCACATCAAAAAATATCGTATTTCCCATCAGTTATCTTTATTTTTCTTCTAAGGAGATTTTTCCTTTAGGGAAGCAAAGTGGCTAGAAATTGTTAGCACATTCAGGTCTCATGTTGGAGACTGCATTAAGTTGTAATGGGAGGCTGGTAATGGGTGAAAGCCTCTTCACAGAAAATTTACCTCACCATTAGACAAATAGGTCCGTGGATACTCTGAGAGCTCACAGGGTTCATATATTTCCCCACCTTTTAATGTGCAACAGCTGCAACCCTCTAATAACAGGATCTATTTGTATTCCTTTTTTAAAAGTTAACATATGTTTATATTAGAGATGACTTAATTAGAAGCATATTTATCTCCAACTCAAAGTTTATGAGAATTAAGGTTTGGCATTTTCCGTTAAAAATATATATTTTTCCATTTGATTAAAATCATTAATAAATTTTTGTTGCCTTACATGCTTCTAACTGTCTTAAAATGATACACTGTATTCTATCTGTGGTTCATGGCTACATATTATGTTGTGATTTTGTTCCCCCATTCGGAGTGTTACATTTATTTCTTGACAGACCTAAAATATGTTTCTGTAGTAATTCCAACAAAATAAAAAATGTAAAAAACAAACCACTGGACTTTGTTTTCCCATCCAGGAAGATTTCTAAATTCATAATATCTGGAGTAGTATTTGAGTTCCAGGCTTATAGAGTGGCACAAACAAAAGCCTTGTTATGGCTCAGAAAACATGCAAATTTAAAAATAAAAAAGGTTCCAGCTCTTAAAAAAAGTAAAACGCAATAACCACTTGATTCCTTCCCGCTAACATCTCAAACCTCATCGCCATGCAAGTGATCAAAACATGTCCCCTGGTCAGCCAGGCCAACAACAACCTAACAACTCCCTTTTCAGAGGCATAGGCCAGTATCAGGTATTGTAGGCAAACAACAACCTCAACGACTCCCAATTACTAAGGGGTGGACCTGTTCTTTCAGTTCAATTTGCATTTTTTCTTGGCTTTTGTTTGTGCCACTCTATAAGCCTGGAAGTCAAAGGCTACTCCAGACATTTTGAATTGAGACAGCTTCCTGGATGGGAAACGAAACGTCTTAAAACGTGAATAAAAAAATCCAGTGGTTTGATTGTTTTATTTTTCCGCTTTAGTTAGACTGACTGTGACCCGGATGACTGAGAATCTTCACCAGCATGTTTCTGTAGTAACATTAACATGCTACTTTAATTAAGGTTAATTAAGAAACCCATTACAATATTTTGTCAATAAAAAGCCTAAATTAGGATTTTTTTTTATTATTTGTATCTGAACATATTTCAGGCTGCACAGATATAGCTACAGCTGCTGTTTTGCTTAAAGGCTAGGCTGATGCCACTGTAGCATGTTTGCTGACTTTTTTGACGCGATTCTTTGATAAATGTGCAGCATTTTCAGCTCACCATGTTTAGGCAAAGCTTTCCGAAAACTTTGTGCTCCTGCTCGTAAAATCAAGCGCTTTTTGTTGAATGTCATAAAATGTATCGTCTTCTGCTTCAGCTGCTTTCTACACAGACTTTTCATGCAATTATTGCTGCATTAGGCTATAGCAAAGCAAGTAGCATCACACTGAGGTGTCAAATGCAAATATCAGTACATGTTATGGTAATGTTGAAAATGTTCTTGATTGTCTGAAAAAATACAAAATTCATTAGGTCTACAAAATTATCTGTTTTTCTATTTCTCTTTGAAAAAAATGTTTTCCTTGACTGGAGATCAGACCTAACTCATTTAACGTATCTCATGTGCAATATCTAACAATAAATCTGAAATGGCTATGGTTTTATAATGTCTCTCATTACCTTTCAGTGTGCAGATTCAAGCGGCAAATGCCATTGGCTTTGGTCTCTTGAGTCCGGTGCTGGTAGCAAGGACCCGCCCGCTTCCTCCAGCCCCGCCCCCACTCGAATGCTCAGCAGCAGGCCCTCAGAGCCTGAAGCTCAAGTGGGGGGAGAATGCCGGACACACACGCACCCTGCTCTCTGAGGACGTGGTCTACACACTACAAATGGAAGACAAGAACCACAGGTGGAGTTTACAGACATACAAACAAAGATTTATACCGCTGTTTGAATGGATAATTTGATGAGGTCATCAAAGTCCACAAATATACATTAGAAACCTGTCCGTTAAAAGATGTCTGAATCTGGTGCTTGTTTGGATTCTGTTTAAGAGGCTTTCCTTCTTTGGATAAACATTTTTTTGTGCTTCATGAATAATTCTCATTCCATCACGTATTTTTTTATCATCCATCATCATCCAATTAATGTTTCCTTTTATTTTGGTCACTTTGCAAACTCATTTTCTCCTCAAACAGAGCTATCAAAGTCAGTAAATATGGACTTTGGTTATTAAAGCAGTGAGAAACCACCATAAGTTGAGGAAACGAAAAAGCATTCAGGCTAAGTTACTTTTGTAGATCTCAGTATGTGTTTGTGTGCTTGTTTGTGTGTGTATGGCCACAAACTACGTGTACCAGGGAGTAATCATGTTGAAGGCATTTGTGACCAGCTGGGAAAGAGCCTTCAATAACATCCCTCCATTTAACCAACTGGCTAGACATGATTAAGACAGGAGAAAAAAAAACAGCAAAACAACCCCCCAAAAAAAAAAAAAAAAAAAAAAAGAAGAGAGGTTATTAGCGAACTGAACAGGAGGGGAGATTATTAGAAGCCTCTTCCATTCACGTTTACCTCTGTCTCTGTTTAAATTTTGGCTTGGTTGGCACTGAATTGGCAGCGTGTATCTTGGCAACCCTGGACTGAGACAGAGGGCAGAAGGCAACAGATGGGGAAATATAGAACTGGCTGTGATCTGTTCACCTCTGCAACACACACCCTTGCAAATAAATGATGCTATATTCAACACAAGCATACACAGTCTCATTTGCCATATTAATGACAGCAGCTTTTGCAATTTAGTCAGCTTTTAGACATTTACCCTTTTCTGACTGTCATAAACATCATATTCGCAGTGTTAAAACCTCTGCTTAAGCCTTTCTGTATACCTTATTAGTGACCATGTTTGTTCACAAAGAAGTACAAAGGTTTTATTGATTTATTTTAAACAAGTAGTTGGCCTGACACATAATGCATACAGCTGTAAAACTGTATGCATTATGTAAAAACACAAACACACCTCTGTCATATCATCAGTTAACACAGGATTTAGAGGAAGCACACACATCAGCGGCTGTAGTGATGGCTGTCCATCAGTTAGCAAGCATGTCATTTCTTTAAGTGTCTTAATGTTGGGGTATTTGTACTGTGTGGAATCTCATTCCACGCTTAAGTGAACACATAACCATTTTTTTAAGGCAGTTAATGGCATAAGTCCATTTGTGCCAGAACTTGTGGTCTAACCAGTTCCCATGTTACATCAGAGATCCAGCGCTTGAATTATGTTGAGGTTCTCGGGGGGATTCCAGAATCTACAAGGACAAAGCTATAATTCTAGAGAAAAACCAAGCTTATATAAAAAAGTGGAATTATGAATTCGATCTGTGAGGTTATGCTTAACCCTAAGGTTTATATACTTGTCATGTTGGGGTCTAATCTTCTAACCCACACGCAGAAACACTCAAGAGACAGGAAAAAAGTTAAAAGGTTTATTGACAATGTTTTCAGAGAAATGTGAACGGCGTCTTGGTTCGTCAGGCTGGTCACAGGAGGGAAGCAACTAGAGGAGGACAGATCGGTTAGAGTGGATCCAGGAAACTAGCTGTTTAACGGCGGTTTGGGTTAATACCTCCTCAGGGGGTATTCTGACCGGCAGGAGGGGGACCTTGAGGGTCCAGAGGCTGATCGGCAGGCAGAGGGCAGAGACGGAGGCTGAGGCGGAGGGCAGATAGGCAGGTTCCAGGCAGCGAGAGTTTTCTCCAGGAGTTGACTGATCACCAGATATGTCAGGATCTGAGAGGCAGAAGAACAAAAAATCAGGAAAACAGATCAGATTTAGCTGGCTCAGGTTTGCTGGTACCATTACTGGCAAACACTCTGGCAGGGAAGTGTCAGCCTTCCTCCTCCTTAAGTAAGCCTCCAGATGAGCAGATGGGAAACAGGTGTGCAGAAGTCAGCTCACGCCCTCATGAGGAAGATCTCAGGCTCCCTCTGGTGGAGAAAGTTGACAAGCCTCCAGATCCCAACAATACTACATTTAATTGTGGTAATTTTTCAATGCATTTTCTAATTTCGTGTCAGACCCATTCCAAGTGCTTCTATTGTAATTAGCCAATAGTTCTGAAAGTTTTGTCATTGCAGTTTCAAGTTCTTGAACCATACCAACTAAGTACCATCTAAAATCATGAACAGACACTATCTTGAATAAGTGTGACTTAAGTTAATATTAGAACTAAAATAAACTTTTGTTTAAAAAAAGCATTAAGCAGGCAGGAGAACAGAAACTGTTTTCTGTATTTAGCCTTTTAAACCTAACAGGCTTAGCCTCGGCTGTGGCCTGCAGGCAAAATAACGTTTCTGTGAAGCATAAATACCAGGCTTGCAAACAAATATCTCGGATATCCAGCTACACTTTCTCCAAAATTTAATTTGGGATTTTTTATCAATTGTTTTGACTTTGGCTGTCCTCCTTAATGTCTTTTGTCATTTCAGTCATCTTCCTTTGATTTAATTCCCACTTATAAATCCAATTTTTTGTCAGCATGCTAACAATATCAGAACCTCAGGAGAAATGAATGTATTTCTCCTACTTTCCCTCTTACCCTATTTTTCCCTTGTGCATCCAGAAGCATTTCCTCTATTAGACAAGCCAGAACTGTGGCATTATGTTCACAATATTTTATCGTCTGTCTTTGCTTTTCTCAACCTCACATGACCTCCCTTTTTTTTGGATTCATTAAGGACATTTTAACTACATATTTGTTATTTTTTCTTAGCTGTCGTTTCTCTCTTAGAGCTTTTTTTCTCCTTTCCCATTGATCTGCATTTGTTTTGCACTGAAGGCGTTTTGTCAGGAACATTATTAGTTGAAAGTATGCCAATTATAATGGGTGGCTGTTATGCGTGCAGTGAGGGATTAAACCATTTAAAACAAAGCATTCTTCAAAAGAAACCAGTTTGACAAAGCACTGCTTCAGCTGCTGCCGTTTTGAATTGTCCATGGTCTTGTCTAGTGCCAGAATGTCCATATGTTTCATGCATTCCTATTTGCCTGATGATTCGCCCTTATACATGTTCTATATAATTTAGCTCGATTGAAACTTCAATTTAGACTTCTAGCTTATCTTATTCACCAAGATGAGCCACAGATGCAGTGAAAACCCCAAAAACCACCAATATCCAGATGCAGTGGGGAATACCTATGTTTAAAAAAGTGCAGCAAAGCAGCAGACACTGCTACTACTTAAAAGCCAGTTTTATTGTCTGCTACCATATAGACTAAACACAGATCAGGGAAAAGACATTTCTGACCCTGAGGCTGTCCCTTTTGCTGCTAACATCTGAAGAAATATAGACAAATAGAAAATAAAATGTGTATAATAGTGTATTTTAAAATTGTGATACTCTAGTTAGTGATAGATTATATTTAAACCTGACTTAATTTTGAAAAAAACTAACAAAAGGGAAATCAAAATGCATTATAACCATGACTCAGAAATTCAGCAAAAAAAACAAAAAAACAGACGTTACGACCACGCTTTGCCTCAGAATCGGTTTGCTTCACCAGCTATGACTGCCGATTTGGCTGGGTTTGGCTATGACGTTGATAGTTGTAGGTAGAGATTATTTAATAGGCAGCCTTTAATCCTTTGCTAAAAAAATGGGTCAAAACATCCAAGCCACATGATTTGTATTTCCAACCAGAATCTTAGTTTGTTCAATTCAGCTCTGTGTGCAGGAATTAATAGCATCATATATCAGCCTGAGAAAGTACAGCGTCCTCTCTGTAGTAGAGCTAATAAAGAGCTCATGTGGTCTACAAATGTTCACTCTTTTCTCTTTCGTTTTCCTGCTCTCCATCACATTCTCTTATTCACTCTGTTCAGTTTCTTTGTTTACATGCCACAATTCCTTTTCTTTCTCTGATATATTTTTTGCTTAGAAATGTATTATCCTTAGGAATTCATAGTGGCGACAGAAATAGCATTCTCAGCTCATGTCCTCTTTTGTCCAATATATACATGTTGACAAACAGAGGTGCCAATTCTCTCCTTCATTCTTTCAATTTATTTAACTAGCCAGTCAGAAACTTTTCCTTGTTTTCCTTTGGATTTTCAAAGTCTAGACTAAAGTTATGCTTTGTAGAACCAAGATGGTGGCTAAAGAGGATGTACTATTGTTTAAGAAGGGATGGATGGATGGATGGATGGATGGATGGATGGATGGATGGATGGATGGATGGATGGATGGATGGATGGATGGATGGATGTATGGATAGGAAAAAATGGTCCACTTTTTAATTGGNGGATGGATGGATGGATGGATGGATGGATGGATGGATGGATGGATGGATGGATGGATGGATGGATGGATGGATAGGAAAAAATGGTCCACTTTTTAATTGGCTTTTAAGCATTTTAGCAACTATATCTACCTTCAATTGGGATTGAAACTCTGATACTTTTTTCTTTTGTCATTGATCAGAGGCCAAAAGTAAAACACTGTTTTACAGATTGTGTTTCTCGACACAGAATATATATGTGTCCTCATCTGAGAAGCTGTTTTAAATGTTTTCTTGAAGCGCACTCTTTTCCTTAATAATTAGAGGCCTCTCGTTGCAATGATGTTTAAAATGTACTCATTAGCCACAATTGTGAAGGTAATGTCCCATTTTAGTATTTGCTTCTCTCTTTCCCTAACCATTTTACCTATTTTGGCAATTCATTGTCATTTCCCCTTTGTATCCTCCTCAGGTTTGTGACAATCTACCACGGTCCTAGCCACACCTACAAAGTCCAGCGACTGACTGAGTCCAGTAGCTACAGCTTCAGAATACAGGCACTCAGCGATGCTGGGGAAGGTCCTTTTTCTGACACACATACTTTCTGCACCACCAAGTCTCTACCACCCACCCTCAAAGGTAAAATGACATTGGAAATTATTGGTTTTGTTTCACCTATTGCTGAGATATACTGTTGTGACCAGTTTCTTGCAATCAAAGGAGTCTGTTATTTGCCTTGAGTTGCATAGGAAGATAACGCTTTAGCATCTCTATTCCAGGCTAACAACATTCCATTTGATTTCCAGCTTACACAAACTTCCATTGAATTGTTGTGAAGGTGTCAATATTTTTCTCAAACACTATTAGAGTTATATTGTTTTTATGTCATGCTTCATATTGACTTAAAGTGCTGTACAAATTCAATATAATTCAGTTTATTTGTATAGTGCCAATTCACAACACATGTCATCTCAAGGCACTTTACAGAGACAATTAAACTACATTATACAGTCAGATTGGTTCAACGTTTTCTATCTAAGAAATACACCTGATGAATCTCCAGCAGAACTAGGGTCAGTGTGAACAGCCTTCTGCCAAAGCTTACTAGGGTTCAAGGAGACCGAAGCAGACATACAAAAAAAAGCAGAGCTACTAAAGATAGCTGTGAAGTAGCTCCACAGGTGGTCCTGTGCAGGAAAGGCACAGCTGAGCAGATGACCTCCCAGTTCATCTGACATAGCCAGTTCTCAATGTTAGAGGATGACAGAGAGCACATACAGTTAGTGAAGCTAAAATAAACAGGACTACTGTACACTGAAATGCAGGCCAAGCTCCAGAATCTTTGAACAAAGGTGCGGCAGCACAACTGATATTTCTATCCAGGATGGCATCACAGCCAAATAGAAAAAGACCAGGTGAAGCTACTATGAGAAAAGGCAGAGAGAACATAAAGTTAGAAGGTTGAACCAACAAATAGAGAACAAAAGGAAAATAGAGAAAGAATGAAGCAGAATGATGAAAAGTGGTCACTACGTCCTCTAGCAGTTTAAGCCTATAGCAGCATAACTACAGAGATAGCTCTGGATAACCTGAGCCATTCTAACTTAAAATAAAGCTACAGTTGTTTATTACAATGGTTAATTATATACATTTGTGGCTAGTTTTTGCTGATTTATTTAGCAGATTTTATAAGCCTTTAATGAGTTTAATGCTTGGGTTTGTTAGAAATTATTATTAGACTGTGTTCTTGCGGGTGGTGAGCAACAAACAAATCAGACTACAGCACACAGGGTGGGTTGGAGTAAACTACTTCAGAGCTAAGGGGGATTATGAATTGAACCGAGCAGTTATTTCTATGCTTATTTTTTCTTTTTTTTTTTTTTGCTTTTTAGTAAGTTTAATCAGAATTAACAATAACCTTAATTTAGTCTGGCTGCAGGGAGTTAAATTGGTTCAAATGTGGTTTCACTGTGACTTAAAAATCCAGGGAGCTGTTTCTCATGATTCACTTGTTTCATTTTTCATTCAAGTATGTTTGTTTATCAGACGTTTATACTGCACTAGGAATATTGATGTGTAAGCAGAACAACTAGCATTAAAAGGGGCTTGGATGATGCTTCCTCCCAGTATGTAAACTGAGTGGATCATTTGAATAATTTCATCTAGTTCTCATGTTACTCATATTTACCATGTTTGAAATAAAATGGTCTTTAAAGTCAGAAATTTCAGTCATGAATTTCCTCTGCATGGAAAAAGCAACTCAACACAGCCATTTTAAAGCATTATGTGAATATATGTAATACTGTATAATGATGCAATTTCTATGACAAAAGGTATACTAACATTTTTGTTTTATGCAAAAATATTACAATCTGATTTTTAGTGTCAGGGAATACGTTGAACGCTTTCCCAGTGGATATAAATGCCTGTAAAATAAAATCCTACACATACAAAGCACAAGCCTTTTTGAGTTCTGGGTGGAACCTACTTTTAAAAATATGTTTACCTAAGTTAATATCAACATTTTAGCTAATACTAATTCAAAGCATTCAGGGGACTCGTTTGAGAGGTAATTAGACAAGGCAGTTTTAAACAAAATTTTATTAATTTTTTTTTCCAGACAGACTGACTGAGCGATTTACTGACTGACTCACTGACTGACTGATTTACTAGTTGATTGATTTATTGATCATCATCATCATTTCTAATATGTTACTTTTTCTTTTTTAACAGCCCCCAGGATTCACCAACTGGAGGGAAATTTGTGCGAGGTCACATGGGAGACTATTCCACCAATGAGAGGAGACTCTATGAACTATGTCCTCCAGATGCTTGTGGGACGCGAGTCTGAATACAAACAGGTCTGTCTCTCTCAAACCTCTCACACACAGACACGCACACATACACAGACATGCACATATGCATACAACCAAGTACAGTAAGAGTAAAGTTAGAAGCTTCTGCCTCGCTCTGGTCCAGAGCTCTTCTTTATTAGCTTGTTCCGTTATTATTTCGGTGAAAGTGCTCAGGGAAAGTTTTTTGGGTTTTTTTTTTCACCTTCTGCAAGGATTTTTAATTTAGATTTCTTCAGATGGGAAGGAACATACTCAGCTTTGAAATTGGACATGTATAAAAAACACAAATACACACACTCCTCAAGAGAAATTTGCACATAGAAGAGAAATCAAAATGAACGTCCTGAACATCAGCGGTTGCTTAGAGATATTGCAAGAATTTCAATGACTTGCATTGCAGAAGCAGCTGAAATCCATTTTGCTCATCAAGATGAGCAGAGAATTTTGTCTCCTTTTCTTTAATTGAACTACAGAGAGTTTAAAAAAAACTGCTTCAGGTACTTGGAGACCATATTTTATTTTTTAGTTCTTGTGTGAAAATGCTCATTACCTTTGAGCATTTTCACTTCTTCTAGCATTTTGAGCACACCCTTTGATGCATAAATATGTTTTGACCTAAAACAATGGAACATATATTGAGCTGTATGTTTGCTAAAAACTGTAATGCTAGAGCTTTTTGCTGCCTAGAAATGTTTACCTCCAGGTTTGCCCCCATTATTTAATTCCATTGACCTACAGATAGTTTCTGACCAGCTTATCCTGTGTAGAATATGCTGGTGAAGATTTTCAGTCATCCAGGTCATAGTGGATGACGTTATACACGCGACGCTTCGTTTTAAAAGATATAAATATAAAAAATATAACCGCGGATGTCTGGGGGACAGTGATTCGCCTACATGTTATGAATGCTGGCGTACCATAAAGAATAAATTATGAACAGTTTAGTTTGTGCCTTCAAGTCGTTGCCCATAGGAAGACATTACTTGGATATAACCTAACGGAATATCTTCAGAAGGGCTCCAAATGACACAAAACTCATATGGGTGAATAGAACATGATGTAATAATGTAAAATCAAGGGCCCAATGTAAAAAAAAAAACAGCGTTTCCCTTTAATTGAGACCAATAACGACTCTTCTTGATGCTGCTAAAAACATGACCACCATTGGGAATATTGAGCTTTCTCCCTCCTTTTTTCTCTGGAACTACTTAGCGAAAATATGTGTAATCTTTTTCATATAATTTCTTTAGTTTTTCTAAAATGGTAAGTGACATAGTCAGCTGTAAATAAAACAATAAAACAAAAACAAACCTTTGTATGTGAACTATGAAGTGAAAAGAAAATTTTAAATATTTTATGTTCCCTCATTTGCCACGAAGGACTGTAAGTTTTTACTGATATAACAGATATAACATGTCCCTTTTAGGCTGCATTGTAAAATTTTGGTCACAGTACTGCAATGATTCTTCCAATTGTAATGTGTATCTCTGCTAAATACAAATGCAAGAAACAATTTTTCTTAATTGTATTTGAAAAATGTTTGGACGCTATACAGCTTTTCTTTCATGTTTTTCTCACAGGTTTTTAAGGGAGATGAAGGTTCATTCCAAATCCCTGGTCTTCAGGCAAACACAGACTATCGTTTTCGTGTTGGCGCCTGCCGGCAGTGTCGGGATACACACCAGGAGCTTTGCGGGCCATTTAGCCCCTCCTCCCTATTCACGCTCCGTCGCCAGGAGTCGCCATCGTCAGGAGAGCATTTGGCTTTGGAAACAGGCAAGCGGGCGGGTCTGATCTCGAGCGACGAGCGCTTTGCGGCACTGATCGTATGCGTGTTCGCTGGTCTGTCCATTCTCATCGCCTGCCTGCTACAGTACTTCTTCATGAAGTGAGGGAATTTTTAACTATAGGATAGAAAGTGAAATCAAAACACAATTCACAGAAATGAACTTTTATAAATGTCTATGAAAGAACAGATTAAAATCAAAAAAACACTTGAGATGTACTTTTAAGGCTATGTATGTCTATTTTTATTTTTTTTTTGTAGTCAAAGTTTTGATTCAGGCTTCTCCATTTTTTTCTCTGCCTTCACCCATTTTATTGTCATTTCTTTTACACCTGTGTCATTTTTGTCTTTTTTTGTTGAGGGTTTCTGTTGAAGGAAGCCTCATCTTGGCTCTTCCTCAGTTGGGAAAGAAAACTGATAGTCAAGCCTTAGAAAGGAGCGTGGGCAAAACATTTGCTCCTCAAACTGACTTGCATGTGTTTCTTTTTTTTTATATGTCTACATATTCAGTAGAAAACATATACACAAATATTTTTCTGCCATCATTGCCTTATTTTTTAATTGCTGCAGTCTATAATCATTCAGCCATATTCAACTGTAGGCCTTTAAAGCTTTAGCTGTTCCTACTTATTCAGTGTGTTCCTTTTCTAATGGCTGTCGGTCAGGTCGAACATTCTGCACTATCTGACCAAAACACACATGCACACACACACATACATGCAGAACTCTGTACATATCCACGCACGCATAAAAGCTACACTTTTTCAAAGACAATGAGGAAAAACTCATTTTCATTTTGAAGACAGTCATACCAGCTCAGCTTTTGCCATTGAAGCACTCACACATCAGCTACCAAAGTGATGCAATTCATCTATGGTGTAAGTTGCTGCTATCCTGTATTTTCATAGCATGAGAGGAAGAATGGTAAACATGTATTTTGTCATGAAAAGTGATGGCAGAGTAAGGTTGAAGGGGAAAGAAGTGAATTAGGTGCTCAAAAGTAGGAACTATGAGGTCAGTTGAACAATAAGCGCTTAAAGGGATAGTCCAGAATTTTTTACTGAGGTTCTGTTTTAATTTAATAGTCAGTTCATATATTGGCTGAAGTATGTAAATCTTTTGGTATTTATATTCCTTTAGTATAACTCCAGATTTTTATGTCTCAAATGCAGAAGCTATCTGCTTGTCGTAGCGGGGCAAAGATCAAAGCGGACTTCTGCTGTTGTAGAAACAACAATTTATACAAAAACTTTTAAATAACAAGTAAACAGTCATCAATAATTATGTGACAACATAATACCAAATTCACGAAATTTTAAAAAATCAAGATCTTTCAATATTTACGAAGAACTAATCCAGGTTTCTTTTTTTAACTAGAAGTTTCAAAGGTTATTTTTAAACAATCTGTGTAAAATAATTCAAATTTCGCTTTTTAAAAATAGCTTATTTTACCCTAATGAGAGGCAAACAGCCAGGAGCATCATTCCTGCTGTGCATACCGATCATTTTTAGAGTGTCTGTACCTATTTTTCTACTGGGAACCCAAAATATTGCCTCACAAACCATTTGAGATTAGGGGAACTTCTTTGAGTTATCATGACATGAAATCTTGATTAGTCATCCTCCAGAAACAACTGAAAAGCCGCTTTAGAACTACTTCCACTTCTTCTTTAAAAACATGGAAATAGGGACTGAAACTTAAAGCAATCATCTAGTTTGTTAGCTTAAACTAAAATGAGTATGAGTTCATTTAAATGAGAAATAAGGTTTAATTTCTGGTTTTACTAAAGGCTAATTTTTATTTACACCATAAATGAAGCCATTAATCGACGCTGTTTCCTTTCGGAAACTTGCCTTAAAAATATTTACAAACTAGCCAAGAGAAATTTAGACAAGCTAATAAAAAGCTTGATATTTTTGTCACTTAAATGAGCTGTATGTATATTTTTTAACACTTAACTTTCAAAGATGGCAATAATTTTAATTAGCCAATGAATAAGCTGGAAAGCTTAATATCTCGCTTAGATTTGTTTTACACAGGAGGATGTTTAGTAGCCAAACCACCTCCAGCTTCCATTACATCGGTAAAATTCATCGCTTCCATATAAATATTCACTTAATGCAGATAACTTGGTTTATTTATTCATATAATAGTGAATAAATCCAACTTTATTAAGGCTTTCAGGTTTGAGTTATTGTAAGACGTCGAAGTCTTTTTTGATTGATCCCCACTAGGGCAAATAGTTAGGTTCTGCCTGCAAGAACATCTACTTTGGATTTATGCTAAATTTATGTTCCAAGAGACTTCGGGTAAAATGTTCACTGATCATTACCTTTAAGCAGAACCTCAGTTTTCCTTTTGAAACCACTCTTAGGTCACAAGCTGGACCTTATGTTGGGCATTTGTTAACTCCGGGATAAAATGCTGGGATTATAATAGTCTATTGTCTTTGTTTTCTTTAGGAGAGTCTCAATACATGTTTGATCCCTTGTAAAACCCCGAGGGTTCTACCTTCTCAGATATCATACAGTAGCTTAAACCTCTTTACCTGCGTCCTCAGTGTCATTTGGGATAAGAGGTGCTAGCGACGTGTCAATGCCCTTCTCTACGTTTGTAAATCTGGAGGAGCCATTTGTAATCGGATGCTGCTTTGTTCTGGAAATGTTTACTACAAATGCTGAAGGTTTTCCTCCTTACAACGCATCTGTGAATCAATGCGTTTAAAGACTCGCCCCCTTTCTTCTCATCTCCTGAATATTTGTAATTGATCCTTTTTTTTGGCTCTGCCTACTCCTCGCCTGCTTTCGATCCATTCCAGTCTCACTGCTTCTTTCGCATCTTTCCCTCTTTATCAATTAAAAGGTGCTTTATTGACATGTAATCAGAGCCGTAGCAAGTCTGTGATCTCTACTCAGACATGATCTCTGAGGACTTGAACTAATCTTCACAAACCAAACAAGCCTTGGACAGAACACAGCTCAACAGAACAGGGCATGGGGCATTGTTACATAAAAAAACACCCCCCTGACCTCCTTATGCCGTCTCATGCCAGCTCCTCCTGACACGTCTTTTCATCAAAGCCAAGGTACAAACCATGTTTATCATACCACAATAATCCAAAGAGCTCACCACCTCATTAATGTGACATGCTTGCTTAAGTCAAGTGGAGGTTTTGTGCCGAGACTTGGCAAGAGGCAGAGGTTTTGATTAGCTCTGATTGGCAGCCTGTAACGTACCTCAGGGAAAAGGCCTTACAGAGAGGAAGATCCAATCCTGTCATCCTCATAGCTGTCATCGTCATCATCATATTAACCATGCTTTTCCTCCCTTCCTCTTTCTTCTCTCTCGACGCTGTCTCGTCATCAGTCTTCGCCGTGCCTTGCTTTTATGTTTCAGTAAGCAAAGCGGTTTACTAGCTCAAAAAAAAAAATCTTTGCCAAAGTTGATGGGAAAGTCAAGGTAGAGTTCTTTTCTAGGTTTTATTTATACTATATATTTGCATACAGTACTTTACATGCCAATTACAGTGCAATCTTCATTTATTTATTGTTTAAAGATTAAGAGACAAGTGTAGTTATATACTAATTTTTATTCTTGTAGCATGTTTTCTTTTTTAATGGATGTATGTTAGATTGTATGATTAAGGCCAGCATTCCTTATCTCAGTAACCCTTTAAGTATTTCTCTTGCTCATCAGTTCATACATTTCCATTTCCAACATGTAACCAAATGTCTATGGGTTCTTGTAACGCTTAGAGATACATGTAGCAACTCAGACCTACAGGTCAAGTTACTTTATATGGGGATAAATAATTCTGCCTTTGGCTTTTTTGTTCTGAATAGTGTTATATTGAAGCTTCTGGTATCTTTTTGTTTTACTGTTTTAATGCCAAAGTGCAGACTTTTTTAATGATTTCTAAATCTTACAGCAGTCTAGAGGACTCTGTTAGGTTTTCTGTAACTCATCATTATGCCTTTTATTGTTAGTATTGCTCTCTTGAAAGAAAAACAAAACATTAACTTGATCTGTGATTACCATTCTTTTATTTACATATTGTTTTTTTTTGTTTTTTTTATGTATTACAAAACAAACCTGTGCCATTTCAAAAAAAGAAATGTTGAGCCTGGAGGTTTTGAATTAATATTTTTTTTAACTAATTTCCCGAATATATATATATAAAAAAAACAAAGCAAAAAAAGATGCTGATTTTAGGTCGATGAGGATGGGTGCTGGTCATTTTGCACGTTTGCCATTTTGTACCTTTGGAAATTTGGTCTTTTCATACTTATTTAGTATAAATGGTTCCATCAAATAGACCTTTCTTTTGACAATGATATAAAGAACATAGAAAATTGTATTCATTTTCTATATTCCACTAACAATCAAGCAAAAGTAAATAGGGGTTTATTTACTTTACTCTATTCTATCAGAGGATCCACACTTGTCTTGCATTCCAGACAAGTATCCAAAACTAGAATCAGAACCAAAATCAATGGCAATAATGCATAATAATTAGATTTTTAGATTCAACAGTGGCTCTCCAAAGTGTTTGGGTCCTATACAAATCCCACAGTGGCTTAATTTACTGTTTTCACATATAGAGGGAAACATATCTTATAGGATTCATCTAATAAAAACATACAAATCTCTAAGGGCTAAAAACACAAAAGGGATTAAATTATAAGGTTTCTTTAAACAAACACTAACATTTAACCAAAGTCTCTGCTTCATTATATATAAAATAAATGATAGTATTCCTGATGAATGTCCAGTTTAATATACAACCTGGATATTACTTGCATAAATGCTTTGTAAGGGCTGCCAAAAAACACAAAAACTGCCTGACATATTTTTGGTTTTCCCATGATTTAGGATTAATTCTCAACTCGGTCATTCTAGAACTTAAACTTTGCTCTGCAGTCGCCTTTCTATGCTTTGCATGTTTGGCCTCACGGTGCATTAGAGAAATCAAGCTGTTCACAGTTTAATTAACCTTGACAAAAATCTCAGTTCCAAATTAAAGAAAGCAATTCTACAACAAGAGTAAGAATATCAATATAGTTAGGGTGTTCCTAACAGGAATGTTTTATGCCAGACTTGTCTTTTGGAGTACAGGTCAAAAGATCCAAGTTTAATTTCTGCATACTATTTTCTGTAAATTCATGTTAGGAGTCTGGCTTAGACTAGAAGTTTGCTTTTTTGGAGGAGGAGGAGGATTAAGTTCATTTGGAGGCTGTTTTATACCTTGTCTTTTCAGTAAACAGATGGTTTTATAGTGCCACCATATTCCCACACTTTCTCCACAGACTGAATTTTTCAATTGTAATGGTTGCCCCCTTTTCTGACTAAACCTCTATACATCCAGATCATTTTTCACTCTTTATATCATCTCTGTGAACCATGATTTGGAAAAAAAGATGCTAACTTACAAATAACACAGTATAATGAATTGAAAGCTGAACATAAAAACAAAAAAATAAAAAGCTGAAAATTAGTCAGAAGGGGTTTCAAGGTTGTGCATGTTTTTATGGCCAGGTTATGGCACCTTTGACCATGTTGAATTAAACATAATATAAGCTAGAAATCTCAAATTTACAGGTTTTTTTTCACACTTTAAGAGCCACTTTAATAAAAAAAAAACAGTAATATGTCAGATTAAAGCATTTTTATAACCAATTACTTTCATACTTTGCAGAAAAAGACACAAAACAAAAAATTACTGTGAGATTTGCAACAGTTTATTTAATTTAGTGCAAAACAGTGAAAGATTTAAAAAGATGCATGAATGGGCCACAAGGCTAAATGACCCCTAGCCCGATGTCAACAAAAACATTTCGACGATTCCTCATCAAGTTTGTTTCTGGTGTAGCAATAGAGAGTTCTTTTGTTCTTTTCCTTTTTTTTGTTTTACTCCAGTGTTTTGCTAAGAGATAATATACAGAGATATCTATAGAGCTATAGAGTAAGATGGTAAATACATTATGACTAACAGAGTTGAAGCACTTTTTTTACGTCGAGCATTTGACGTGATGAGGTTACGAATGGGAGACAACGGATTCTTTGCTCTATTTCAAAAACACTACTGCCAACGCTAACTGTTAGGTCCATTGGCATTATTTTCCCGTTGGTATCACTGTGACATTACAGGAGCACGGCACTGCGCTCCCAGCAGAATGCAAATTACAGCACCCAGGAAAGTAGACTTCAGTAGGTGTACTGTGCCTTTGCCAGATAGGCTCATGTTGTGTCTGCCTAGACTGTTTCATATGAATTGACACATGACATGTGAGTTTTCCTGTCTATATTAACCTCCTTTGGTTTCCCACTTGGAGCCTTAATATCCCGGTGTGAGAGCAGATGTGTTCTTCTTTCGCCACCAGGCCAGTTATCTTAGTGTTGAACAATCTGACAGCTTTTGTATATCCTTTAATGGGTTTTATTATTCCCTTTTGTTTGGTTTGTTTTGGTTTTTTCAAATGCTGTGTATCTTTTGAGAAACCTTCTTAATCAGACCCCTGTACCCTGCCGGTCCTGCACATTTTGTGGCTATGTCCAGAATAAGAGACAATGTTTTTAGCCCAGGAACCACGCATCTGTGCCTTTTGATCAGTTGTTTTTTTTTTTTACTATTTTTTTAATGTACATTTTAAAGGAAGAGGAGGTTTTGACTGAGAGATTTGGCAACCTGACATAGACTCACAGGTTATTTTCTGAGGCAAGACAAATAAAAAAAAAAAAAGATATTTTTACCTCACGATTTTAGAGCAAACATTCCAATGTTGTCATGGTCTTCGATTTGACATATAGAAAAAAAAGATAAAAAAGTTCATGCATTTTTTTTTCTTGTATTGTAAATGTTAAACAATTTCATATGCGTTATATAAAAAGAAACTGCCATATCAATTTTAATGTATAGATTTTTGCAAATACTACCCTATGTATGTAAGACGTAACAGTATCGGTAGCGTATATATAATATATTTATGCCCAATAAATGTTTTAATTTTTTTCTGACCCGTGTTGTATTTTTTTTTTTTACATATTTGCTCTTTTTTTGTCATTACATATTCACACTCTTATAAAAGAGGACTTAAATGTTTTATACTGGGATTTCAGGTACAGGCCAAAATACTCCTTTTTTCATGTTTTGACAAGTTACATAAAAAAATAAAATTGTAGCCTACAAAAAAAGGTTCTATTAAGATTTTAAGCAGTCTGATACCCCTTAATAAAACCATGTAAAGCCTGCTGCATTCTGAAGTTCCCTTAATGATGCATAATTTCCGAAGAACTACAGCATACACTACAAAAACATTAAATCTAAATAAGTAATTTTTTCTTAAAATAAGAGTTTTATTTTCTTGAATTTACTGACTCTTTGCCAATGAAACAGCAATTAACACAAAAAATTGCCTTCTCATTTCAAGTGCGTATTATCTGATTTTATTTTAAGAGTAAAAATACTCATTCCATTGGTAAATCATCTTATTTACATACTCAAATCCAGGGTGAATATACTTTATTTAAGATATTTTACTTATTTTTAGATTGTTTTTGCAGTGTGATTACTATGGTAGAGATTCAAAGTACAGGAGGTCAGCAGAAAGAGAACAAGCCATGTCAGTGACACCAAGAAAGTGCTTCAGTCAAGTGAGAACCTACCATTCTGGTATCTTTAGAAAACTCTAATTTCATCAGACTTTACTGTAAAATGGAAGATGATCTTTTAGAGACTCCCTAATACTCAAGACTGCAGGGGTTCCTTCCATGTCTACCTTCCAAGACCCTAAACATACAGACAGAGCTATAATGCAGCAGTTCAGATCAAAACATATTTTTTTTGTAGAAAGGCCCAGCAAAGGTCGAGACCTTAACTTAATTTAGAAACTTGCAGGACTAGAAAATTTATGTTTACATGTGCCCTCTGACCACTGTAACTGAGCATGTGATAGCTAATAAATAAGAATAGCTAAATATTCCCATCTCTAGATGTGCAAAGCTGAAGTGGACATATCCCAAAAGACTTAGTGCAGTGAATGGTGTTTTTGCAAAGTATTGACTCAGGGTCATCGAATAAAAAATTTGCATTTTTTTGTTTTTTTGTGTGTGTGTGTGTGTGTGTGTGTGCTAAAGATAGAAAAAACATGAATAATTTTTCTTCAGTTTCACAGTTTTTAGCTTCTTGGTATAAGTCTTTCTTACTGAATACCAGCAGAATAATTCGAAACATGTATTTGGGTGTCAAGTGTTTAATAATAAAATTAACATTATTAAATAGTATCATTAAATTGATACTATTCTAAATATTTAGGATAATTAGTCAATATGTTTACTAAGTTTTAAATTTGCAGTACTTTTTCTGAAACATGGGTTAGAACTTCCACAACTAATATAGATGCTATAGTGGCCATTAACTGTGGTTGTTTTGTAAATAAAGAGATTTACTTTCTTGTGTTTTTTAAAGCATTAAACAAAATCAAGAACAGCACTTAAAGGTGAATTCCCCTCTTCAGGTCAGTGGAGAGTCCTCGCCTTAAGCGGAAGAGTTCAAGTATCTCAGGGTCTTGTGCATGAGTGAGGTATGGATGGACAGTGAGATTGATAGACGGATCAGTGTGGCGTCAGCAGTGATGCGGTTGCTGTATCGGACTGTCGTGGTGAAAAGCTCAGGAGCTGAGTCGGGGGGCAAAGCTCTCGATTTACCAATCGATCTACGTTCCCACCCTCACCTATGGTCATGAGATCTGGGTAGTGACCGAAAGGACAAGATCGCGAATACACGCAGCCGAAATGAATTTCCTTTGCAGGGTGGCTGGGCGCACCATTCAAGATCAGGTGAGGAGCTCAGTTACCCGGGAGGAGCTCAGAGTAGAGTTGTTGCTTCTCCACTTTGAAAGGAGCCAGCTGAGGCGGCTCGGGCATCTGTTTCTGATGCCACATGGTCACCTCCCTCAGGATATGTTCAAGGCATGTCCCATTGGGAGGAGGCCTGGTGGAAGGCCCAGGACACGCTGGAGTGACTACGGCTCTGAGCTGGCCTGGTGTCGCCTCAGCTCCCCCCAGAGCAGCTGGAGGAGGTGTGTGTGGATCGGGAAGTCTCTGTTTAGACTGCTTCCTGCCTGACCTACCTCCCGGATAAAGAGGAAAAAAATGGATGGTCGGATGAATGGAAGAGCAGCACGTCTTCTGCCTCTGCATTCACTACACCTGGGCAAGAAGTACTACACCTGTCATATAGAAATAGAAGCACTTTTCTTGTAGAAATCTTTTCACTGTTTATTTGTAGAATCACAAAAATGTAAGGAATATACAAATAAACAAACACATCAAAAAAGATGGATCATACACAACTCTAACAGAAGAAAGAGTTTAGCTGTGCTGTATTGGATGTGAAGCAAAACTAATGGTATGTCCCAAATAATTGTAAACATATTTTGGGTCTTTAAAACCTTGCAGTTTCTCTGTTGTTGACACTGTGCACATTATAGGGAGAAGAGAGAGTATTTATTTTTTTTAGAACATGGCTGTCACCATACTGTAAGCCAGTTTCCCAAACCTGTCAAGGAAGTTCCACTCTGTACTGAAACCTACATGATTCATACATAAATTAAAAAGGAAAGCAGGAAAACTCATTTTAAAGGAATAGTACACCTAAAACATGATTAGCCTTCATTT